TCTTGATGAAGAACACAACAGAATGCGGTGTCTGGTGGTATGCCACATCTGAAAAAACTTGTAATGCTTTAGCTTAAAATTGTAAAGGAATTGCATACCAGTGCTTTTTCTAATGATCTCTTCCTTTCCTCCAGGTTCATTGAAGGCAAAGCAAAATGAAGTTTATCCTCAGAGCCGCAGTTTTCCATTTCCTCATCCTCTATGCAGTGCACGTTTTAGGTAAGTTTGTTGTTTTAGAAAGACCTGGTCACAGGGAACGTATCTCAATCAGTTTTCTTGTCACTATTTGTATTGTCAAGATTTACTCCCCCGATCTTACTCAACTTCCTTTTCTTCCCCATCCTAAAGCCATTAATATCCAGTCTGAACCTGCATTCAACGATGAGGGTGTTATACAGGTAAAGCTCAATGACCCTGTATCGCTGGTTTGTACGCTTGGTGTTACTAAAGCTGAAGAAGAGCTGGTCTGGCTGAGGAATGATGCAGCGGTTCTTCTGAAGGAAGGGAACAACAAGAATCGCAGCAGTCTGTGTGTCACACCGACCTATGAAGATAATGGTGCCAAGTTCACTTGCCACCAAAAAGGCAATTCCACAGATCAAGTCTCTGTCACCCTGAATGTCACATGTAAGTCCCTTTAAAGAATTCTGATCTGATCTGTTTATTGTATTATTATATTAATACTCCCAGCCAATACTGAATCACTTTTAGATTAATTGCATATTTAACCAAGGTAGGAATCAGAAACAATATAACTGCATAATGACCAAAACTATCACACTGACTGACAACTGGGCGTGAGTTCAGTTTTATGATCTTTAAATAGTGGTGCAATGGATCACTGTATGTGTATGGCGTGGTCAGTCTGTCAAGCCATAGTTATGGCCAGCGCTAGTGGTCCAAGTGGAGGAGCAGAGGAGTTTGCTGCATTTAAGCAGCCCTTTGCTGCCCAGTCCGACCGGGCTAAAGCTATTACAAAAGCTATTGGGGTGTTTAGCTGCAGACGTGAGGCCGTATTCCGTTGTGCAAAACAAGGAGTTTAAACTATGACGAACATACTTGAGCCACACTATGATATCCCATTGCGCGTCCACTTCAGTGACAAGATCGTTCCAAGCATGTATGAGCAGGAAAAGTCTAAAGTTATGCCTGAACTGTTCCAGGCATCTTCTGCCCTAACTACAAATGGGTGGACCTCCAGGGCAACGGAAAGCTTCGTGACCGTGACTGCTCATTATATCACAGCGGAGTGGTAAATACAAAGCCCTGTACTGGCTTTTTTTGCACCTTAATTTCTTTTTATATAATTGCGTGGAATGAGTCTTGAGTTGAATGTTTTTTAATAGCCAAAAAGTACTTAAATAAGTAAATGGCGAGTTAAAGTTTTGTCGTTTTGTCTTTTTTTGCTGATCCGAAAATTGATCCGATCCGTGACTTAAAACCGTGATCCGATCCGAACCGTGAGATTTTGGATCCGTTGCACCACTATCTTTAATATGTATCAGTATTCAAGGTTGGATTGTCATCATACTCTGGAGCATAAACAGGTTGTCATCAGGACACTACAACACAGAGCGAACGACATCCTCGCAAACATCCCGGGTAGGGCAGCAGAAGAACATCATATCAAAACGACCCTGGGTAAATGTGGCATTCCCAGTTGGACATTTGACCAGTCGGGAAGCCACCTAAAGAATACTTGAGGAGAGAATTACAACCCATGCCTAAACAAAAACCTTTTGGTGATCCTGAGACACATTTTCTGTAAACAATGCATCTTTCAAACCAAAAAACATGCTATGTCAGAAAATTGCTCCACCCCAAGGATCTAGTCTATGTGTTTAAGTACAAGGAGCATTTTTGTAAAATTATACATCAGTGAACTCAAACAACCTCTAAGCTGATGACACAACACAGAAAAGCTACCTCCTCAGGCCAGGACTCTGCAGTCTGTTTAGACCTACAGGCCAGCAGCCACCCTGTCAGTGATGCTGATGTGCACATCCTGGACACGGAGGGGTTATATTCTATAAAACAGAATATAGAAGAAAATATGCTGCCATAAGCTGTAATTTATCTGTGTGTAAACAAGCAAATAAGACAGAACACAAAGCACATTGAAAGATGGAGGTATTCAGGAAATGCATTTTTATGTGGATTTGTTTTGAAAGAAAGAAAGCAAAGGTAGGACAAAATTCATCATGTTTTTCGAGTGGGGTGCATAATTTTGGTCTTGTTTTGCTGCTGGTTCAGAGAACTTTGGTTGGAGCATGATGAAACATGCAGTTTTGCTACATGTCTGCTTGCTCTTTAATTATATGTTGTTTTAGCTGTGTTTGGTGATCGTAGAAAATGTTTTTCAGCCTTGAGCTCAAAAAACATTCTGATTTTTCTGTGGATGCCACAGATGTTTATATTTTAAAAAACAAATGTGGCGGCACATCTCGTGAAACCTGATGTTTTCCATCTTGCCCCCAGTACTGGGGTCACTGGCATTTAACAGGTTTTAAACTAAAGGACCAACCAAAGTAGGACTCATTACCTGTTAGTTCATATATTTTTCACTGATCTCAGGGAAAAAGTACAGCACCACAATATGTAGATCTTTAACATAATATACTAGTAGTCCTCGTGCCCACTCGGAGTGGAGTGACTAGTCTCGACCATGGAGAACACCAAACTACGCATGGACCATTCAAGTGGACTTGCAGGAAGCGTGACTGGAAGGAATTGACAACAACCCCTTCTTTATTCTAGCCCTGATTTGTCCAGGATTATCAGTGATCATGAGGACAACGTTTGGGTTTTTATAGTAAACTGACATCTGGGTTTTTGAAAAGATTTTATCTGCACACAGTCTCCCCTCTGGATGCAACTAGTTGTTCTGTGGTCACTTTCCTGCATGACAACAGCACTTTAACATGGAATTTCCATTTTAAGAGGAGTGAGGGATGGAATGATACAAACACACCCAACATACCTGTGCATATTTTGATGGCAGGCTGGTCATGGAATATTCCGGTTTGAATCAGTGTAGCTGCTAGGTTAACATGTAACTTGCGTTAAGTTGATGTGCATCTATCTGGAAAAAGTTACTTCAATAATCTCACAAGCATTAATATTTGCACTGATCATTTTTCAGTCGCCCCAAATATCTCTGAAACAGTGGAAGTTACAGTTGAAGAGGAGGATGACCTTGTCTTGGAGTGTGACACAAGGGCCAATCCACTTGTCTCCTCTGTGACATGGTCACTAAATGGAAGCCTGGTGGATCTACTAGCAGATGGCCTCTCTGTGATCAATAATGGCTTAACAAGTCAGCTGACATCCAGCAAAGTGAAGAAAAGCTTGCATGGAGGCATGTACACGTGCACAGTGGACTCTCCTATGTATGGAAGTAGCAGCAGGCATTTCCAAGTCACAATAACAGGTGAGCTCACAAGATCAGCACTCTGCAATGCTACCCAAGCCACATCTCCACATTAAGTTGTTCAGTGGATTATAAAAATCAGTGCATGATATTATGGCTTGGTTATTAATGTTTTAATCTTCATTTTAACAGACAAAACCATGAAGTTCCCACTGGGGCCCATGATAGCTGGGCTGGTGGTTGTGGCTCTCACTGCTCTTCTTGCTGTTGTTTCAAGGTGGAGGAAAATCGTAAAGGTAACGCACAGAATACACGTGTGGAGTACAGAGACTGACTGATTACAACCCAGACCTTCTAATATTTTAAATCTCTTTTAACAGTGCTGCAAGTAAGTTGTGCGCAAAATAACCAGTCTTCTCTACATCACCAAACGAGACAAGCCATGAAGATAATGGAAAGGAATGCTTTGTCATTTTGAGAGATACATCTATTCTACATTTAAGTTTTCTTCCCAATGTATAAACAATGAATATTCTTATATATACTATATGGACAAAAGTGCAGGGCTACATATGCATTACACCTACAGGAGCTGCACAGCCATGGAAACTCACGTTATGTAGCTCCCAGCTTGTGCTGATGTTAATGCCAGAGGACATTTGGCCCTCTGCAGTTATTGAGCGAGCAGAGCACTGGCGACTTTCATGCACTACACTGTAACTTCATGTGATCTGCTACATTGTGTGGCTCCTGAACACTTCCACTGTACAATAATACTACAGCTGACTGTGTACTATCTAGGTGGAGAACAACTTCAGGAAGTGACTTCTTGTAATAGAAATATCCGATCAAATTCACATTCAGCTCTTTAGCACAACATGTTCATTCCCAAATATTTGTAATGGGAGACAGCATGGCTAGGTGCTTGATGTTACACACCTGTGACAGCAGGGCTGAAAACACCTGAATTTAAAGATTAATAGGTGTGGCCTAAAGCTTTTGTCCATATAGTGTATTTCTGTTATGTAAACAGCTAGCTAGTTTAGCTTAGAGTGAAACTTAAGTGAAACACTTAGGTAGTGTTAGTCTAACTGTAATCAACTCATAAAACTTACAGTATGTTAGTTTTTCTATGTGTTATACAATCAGGGTATAACTTATCAGTTAAATGTCCTGTTACCTTTGGTTAAAACCAGACTAGCGTGTTCCCCATGTTTCCTGTCTTACACTGTGCTAACTGTCTGATAATGGTAGCTGCATATGTTCAGAAACAATAATAACAATAATGATGCAGCTAGTAAACCTCATCTTTCCAATGCAATCAATGCAATATAAACTGTCTTTGTCTGTAAGATCATTTTTATTGGTTATTATACAATATAGATATATATATATATATTACCAGACACAGACAGAAACCACCATTCACACTGTCACATTTAACTGCTATTGTATGAGAAATGCATGCACTTACCCTGATATATATCTCATGCTGGCTTCTGCATATTAATCAGTGTGCTTTTTAAAACAATAAAGAGACAGATAATTGTCAGACTAATTGTGTTAAAAACCAAAAAGCTGCTTAAAAGAGAGTAACTCAATGCTGAAGCTGATGCTTTGATAATACCCAGTGTGAAACTATCAAACTGCTGTCAAACCAGAGAAGTAAACATGTATGTGAAATGTTTATAATGCTTCAGAATCTAATTCTTGTGTTTGCTCTGAACTTTACCTCCTGACTCAACTATACAGCCATAGCTCATTAAAAATTTGTTATACATTTACTTTTAATGAGACAAAAGGACAGTGACTGCTAGGTTGTTAGGGTCAAGGTCTCCTCTTTATGTTCTTTCCAATAAAGAAAGAAAGACTTTAAAACGCATAAAACAGAGTGATATGAGTGAAGGACAAATGGATTCAAAGTTAAAGATAAATTATTCTACAGCCTTGTTAATGCCTTTACTAAATCACTACAGAGGTGGACAAGACAAAGATTTCAAAAATACTGAAAGCATTTCATGTGTAGGTGTGCAGTGACATCTGCTGGTCACCAAGCCCTTTTGTAGCCACAATGGTGGATTTTTGTGTACACATTCAATTCAATTTATTCAATTTTATTTATATAGCGCCAAATCACAACAAATGTCGCCTCAAGGCGCTTCATAGATACAGAGAAAAATATGCAACCAAAAGCAAAGAAAAACTTTATGGTGTTTGATAAATGAGCAACAGTATTTAGTGACCTGTTATAATTGTGCTGTTGGTGGAAAAAACTGTGCAAACTATCTAGCATTTCCCAGCAGCTAAGTATATTTGATATACATCACCAAGTCCAAAGGCACTGTTATACTTAGCTTTGTAAGATGTTTCTTACGTGTATTTGTATGTATTCCTTTATCTGTAAATTGAGTGGTAAAATAGTATTGCAATAGAAGAGCGTTACTAACACCCCTGTTAGTTGCTTCAACACCAATCTCATGCCAAGTCAATAAAAACTGGACACATTACCTGGCAAAGATAAGCTTTATTGCTAAACATTTCGTAATTTTTCTTTACTAGAAAATGTGACGGTGTTTGAGAGATAGTTTACAAACACTCATCATGGGCATAAATGCCATGGTAATTTGGGGCTTTTGATTATTTCTGTAAGCTGTTATTTTTCCAGGGTGAAATGATTGTGCAGCATAAATCTTCAATGACTTAAAAAAATAATAAGAATTAGGTGCACATGTTAAATTTATTTTGGATTTTCCCTAATCCACACAGGATCACAATTACACATGCAGGCTCAAATATAAACATAGACCCCCAATAATACTTAGCTAAATGTCCCTTTGCAAGTCACAACACAACTTTTGGTAGGCATCAACAAGCCATGTGTTTGTATTGAGAGGAATGTAGTATTACAAACTTGTGATCCTAAGTATTTTTTTTTACAACTATTTTGAAAATACAGACCTTAACAGATCATTTTCAAATATATATTTCAAGGAAAAACATCTTGGAATCTTATTCGCACACGACAATTCTAGTCATATTTCAACGTAAATCCCATTAACGTAAAACTGTACGTAGTGACGCATCGTTTTACGTCACGTAACACTGCGTAGGGCGTGGTGACGCGTGCCTTTGTGGATTCTGTGGTCCGCCGCCAAATTCAAACAGCGAAAGAAGAAACGGGAGCTACAGCCGCCTAAAAGCCACAGCGAATCGACTACTTTTACTACTGACACTTTCAGGTAAACTCTCTGTACAGCAGGTGTCTCGGCAGACGTTCTTCTTTTAAGTTTTTATACTTATTTGACTCGATGTTTTGTCGTGTAACCTGAAATAGTAACGTTTTTTTTTCTAGCTAACCGTGGCTTCGGGGGCACAGCCCTCTTTTGTTTTGTTAATGATATTCACTGACTTTTATGGATAAAGGCAGCATTTGACAACAATGGCACAATTTGACAGCGTTTTCATGTAAAGGCAAGTGGAAGGTAAACTTTAATTCTCATTTGTTGCTTAAGGCTGTTATTCCCTCCTCAGGGCAAGCCATTCCTGGGTTAAGTTGGACACTTGACCAGGAGCATTGTCCCTATCTAACAAAAGTCACGGAGCTTTTACTAACACGATTACTGCTGCTTGATTGTACGGTTGTTACGGCTCATTTTTCACTTTTTCCGTCCTTTGTTCATTGACATTTTTCAGATTTTTTGACAGTGACACAGGGACTCTGAAATAATTTCCTAAAGCAACAGTTAAGCTTAATTACGCTCAAATTTGAGGATTAAAAAAGAAAGATTTGTCTTAACTTGTAACTTTTTCTTATTTTGGTCTATCAGTCCAAAGAAATATTCAAATTTCATAGCATGCTGAGCCAGATTAGAATATAGGTTTTTTTTATATTGTGAGATTTTGAAACTGTAGTATTAAAAATGTTATTTTCAGAAAACTTATTCATACAGATCACTTTTTTTTTTCTCAGCTCGGTCATATAGCCTGTTTAGTCATGGATGGTGTTGGTAAAGCTGTGGTTGGAGTCTGGCGGGCACACACAGTCCTGGATGAGTCTGATGGAGCAGAGAGCTCCCCAGAAGCCCCGGACCGTTTCCGCAAACTTCGGTCCTCATCTTCACTCAATTCTCTGAGAATGTCAGTGAGGAAGCGACTCCCACTGCGATCTGTCCAGACCAACTCCCTCCCTGAGAATCCGACCTGGGAAACCACGAAGGAGCAACCAAAGACCAGCACAGTCCGCAAGCTTACTCGTAGTGCTCGTAACTCTATCACCGGAGTGTATCAGGTAGATTAACTGTTATGTGTGAAATTGCCTATTTTTGATTATTATCAGTCTCAACAAAAGCCACCAGTCAGTTATTCCAGAGTTGTTTTTTTCTCTCTGTCTCAGAGGTTGCAGAGGACCAGAGAATTTTCCCGTGAAGAGTGTTTGGTAGCGACCCCGGGTCGTGATGGAGAAAATGCTGGTGCATCGAATTCTTGCACCCCAGGACATACACCTCATCGGGCTGCAACACCCAGACGCACACCCAGAGCAGCAGGTACACCTGGGCGTACTCCAGGCTCCAGAGGACGCAGGACTCCTGAAGCATCCGTAAGAGGAGTGAAAACAGGAGGTGGCAGGAGGCAACTGGTCCGCATGGCTGCTGTACGAAGTCCCTTTGCCTCTCCAAATACGCAAAACCAGAGGATGTGAGTTTGATTCACTCTTTATGCAACTTTGCTTTTTAGGACTTTGTTAGTTTATTAGTTTGTTGAGTGCTTTTATTTCATTGGATCCCTCTGAGGTTGTGTCAGGACGATCATACACGATTTATTTATTTAAAAAAAAAAACTCAACCAAATATGTGGAGCAGCTGAGAGTAGCTTACTTGAATTTTGGTGGTTATCTTTTTTCCGCCAAATATTTTGTTTTTATGATCTATAATAGGAAATTTGACCAAGATTTGGAGTCAGTTTCCAGTGGACTCAGGAGGCTCAAACATCTGTCAAAGGCCTTTGATGACATCATTGGGAGAGACAGCAGGTAACATTTTTTATTTTAGTCAATTCTTTTGATGTCTTGATCATTGACTGTGTTTGCATTATGTGTTATTAGTTTCTCCCAAATTGGGTAATTAACAGAAAAAGGACATGTTAGGTTTTGTTACCCTTTTCTATAATCACAACTAAATAAGTGTTTTGTTGGTAAATTAAAGTTTTGTGTAACTGAAGAAGCCATTAGTCCATTTCCTTGTATCCATGCATATTCTGCATTGAGGAAGGGAGTCTCTGTCCTCCTTGCCCTCTCACCCAAAGAATCCCAGTTTGTGGGTCCCCAGACTTCCTCCCCCTCCCTCCAGACATTCCTCCCGCCTTAGTTTGAAACAGGGTCTGTGTTTCTGGTATTCAGATAAGGAGGGAGTAAGGGGGAAAGGAGGTGGGTGTGGGAATTGGAGCCAGATGACATGACAAAATGCATTTGAACATTTACGTCACTTCCGGTGTTGTCATTTAAAATATTTGTGTCCTGTCCGATGTATAAACGATGATATTCAGTGTGGAAAGCGAGCACTCGGTAATGGTGATCTTGCCTGTTACGTGCGCACATTACATGCTCCCAGAGGCTTTCCTCACTGAATATAGACGTCTTCCTGTTTAATTGAAATCAGTTTGTTGTTGTTGTTTTTTTTGTTTGGTTTTTTTTTTTACTTACAACAGGCAGTTCAACTATTCCCAAATTGTGGAGTAATACAGAAGGTAAAATCCCCTTTTCAAAGAGTAAAGCTAGTTGAGTTTTGAGAACATACGCTTTCAGTGTAAACACAAAAGTGCATGGCAGAGCTACTCGGATGCATGCAAATCTGGAAGAAAAACAGATGAATAACTCGCTGTCCGAACAAATGTTGCTCACACTTTTTCTTCTTGCTGACTTTACAGCTCCTGCTTTAAATTTTCTTTGACACCAAACTTTCCCAAATACTTTTTCTGATATTACCAGAATGTCTACAAGGCCATTTACACATTAAAATGATAAGTGATAAAATTCAAATTGTAGATCAGGAAATGAGTTACTGAAAATTTTCATTTGTTGCCTGATGGCTTAACACTTGCCTTTTTCACTTTAAATAACTAACTGATGTTGTAGTTGTAAACCTATATGGTTTTAATGGCAGTCTCTTTTTGCACTGAGTAGTGTCTCTCTGTCTCTGCAGATCTGGCCCAAAGGAACGTTCTGGGGGAGCGATGATGAGAAAGCTGGATCCCAGCGGTAAACTCAGCCGCTCAAACGTCACACGCAGAGCCACACGCGTCTCAGACACGCTGGGCAGTTGGGCCCACACAGCTGTGAACACTATTTGCAAACCCAACTGAACTACATGCATGTCTGTGTGTATAATGCAGGACCTTTTGTAGCCATGTTTTACACTTATTATACTCATTATTATTATTGTGGTGTCACTGTTACATATTCACAGTGGCGTTATGATACTGGGAGACTGTTATGCTACAGCTTGTCTTTTTTTTATGTGTGCTCTGCATATTTGTGAGCATCTGTGTGACTCTTGTGTGTTTACATGTCTCAGGTTAGCTTGTTGTGGGTAAAATATCCTCACTGTAGCTTCCAGAGGAATTTTCTTTGCATCTGTCGTAGCTGCTACAACCAAAATGTTACATTTTGTTACATTTAGTTACATTTTCAAAATACTAATATTGTACTTTGTGTTCTCATTCTCTGCATAGAGAAATGTACTCTAAAGAGATCACGAACAAAAACTGCAGTTTATCTGCAGAACAAACACTAAATTTTCTGACAGAGGGGAAATCTTTTTCCTCTATTTTTATATGTATGCAATAATGTTTCTAACACTTGTTACGCTATTTTTTTTAATGTCATTTGATTATACCAAATTATCAAGTGTATTTTCTAAAACACAGTATTTAAATGTGAACATTCCTTGAGGCAGAGGTTGGCATTTCTAATGGCCTGTGGATGATTCATGCATCAATACTGTACACATAAATCATCTGATAATGTGATGGGGAAAAAGATTTAGTGGCTCATTACCAGTTGATGGCTATAATGATGATGTTATAAAGAGATATCCCGAGTCTTATTAGTGACTGTCAAGCTTCCAGCCTCAAATTAAGCAAAGCTCTTCTGTGGGTGTGTTGTTGTTGTTTTTTTTGTTTTTCTGTTTTTGATACTTTCTTTTTCTGCATTATTATTTTTTAAAAGGAGAACAACTGTCCAAATGTAAAAAAATAAAACTTTGCATTTTTTATGTGTATATATCTGTTTCATGTTTTCTCTTCACATCATTTTAGTTGGGCGTTTCCTTTTTCTTTTCTTCTTTTTTTTTTTGGTGGGGGGGGGGTTAAAATAATATTTTCCTCAACATCATGATGTTGGTGATGGTGGTAAAATGCCGGCATTCTCTTTATTAAGTTATCATTTGGTGTCAGTTTTACAGCAAATTTGTTCATTAAACTATCTGCAGTTCCTCCAAGATTTTACAAACTGAGTGGAAAAATGTGTTTATATCACTATTTTGGGTTTTGTTTTGTTTTTTTCTTTCTGTTCAGGTCATTTTCAGGTATTGAAATCTACATATGCCAGTATACTAACTTCCCACTTTATTAGGTATGCCTTGCTAGTACTGCCTTAATGCTTGCCTAATGGCACAGATCCACCATGACGCTGGAAGGCACTCAGTTTGTAATAAGAGGCCCAATTTATGGCAATAAAACACTCCCATGCCATTAAATGACCACCAGCAACCTGAACCAGTGATCAGTCCAAGGAAGGATTGATCTATGCTTTGATGCTGTTTGCATTACATTTGGACCCTATCACTTGAATGTTCCAGCAGAAATTGAGATTCATCAAACCAGGCAACATTTTTCCAGCCCAATTTTATCTGTGCGACACTGCAACTCATGCCTCTTTCAGATCACAGAGATGGTTGTGTGGGAAAATTTCAGTAGATTAGCAGTTTCTGAAATATTCACATCAACCACCATGTCATGTTCAAAGTCACTTAAATCCCCTTTCTTCCTCTTTCTGATGCTCAGTTTGAACTTCTTCTGGTACTATAATTTGTGTTTTAACTTAGAATAATTGTAATATTCATACATCCATACTCTTCTGCTTATTGTTATGGGGTGGGGGGGCTATCCCAGCTAACATAGGGCAAGTGGAGGGCACACCCTGGATAGGTTGCCAAACCGCTGACCTAAAATTAAATTATGTTACACATTTGTGATCAAGTACTTTATATGAGATTAGTACTACTTTAATTTGTATGTAGAAAATTTGTGTAATTCTTTTAGTGGGTAAATCATTTGGGATAGCATGGTTATATTTGTATATATTGAATTAGTATAATATGCAAGGCACAGTCTATAGAAAACTAACTGGTAAAGGCAATACATTTTTAATTTAAAACAACTACACATTTAAGACAATAATTCATTATATTTGTAATGTTTCATGACAAATGATAGAAATTTGACAAAGCAAGTAAACAACAGGAAATCAGAAATGCCATCTGTCGTACTTTACTTGTGTTTCTTTGGTGCGGTAGTTTAAATCATTTGGAATTCACTGAAAAGTCAGTCACTTAGTATAGACTTGGATTTCGTTATAGTAACACGACGGTAAGAGTGCCCCCGAGTGGTGTTTTACGATCACTGCGCGGTGAAACGAGAATTGCTCTGTTTGTCCTTTGTTGTCACCCGTCTGTAGCTCGCTGCCTCGCTGAAGTCGCTCCACCTCTGCCTCTCCGGCTTTGTACCCAGAGCTGAACCCACGCCGCGGCTACCTTCTCTAGGATACCGGGGCTGCTAAAAAATTGAAAATGGCTCTCCACGTCCCAAAAGCTCCGGGCTTTGCCCAGATGTTAAAGGATGGCGCCAAGGTGGGGTTAAATTAGGAATATTGGGCTCGTAGATGAGCTTTGACTGAGTAGTTGTGAAGAAGCGTGCTAGCTAACGTTAGCCGCTAAGTTAGCATGTTCATTCAGAGTCATGAGGGATCGTTCTAGAAAGCAGCAGCCAGGCCGCCCAGCCGGCTGCTGGACGAAGGTCTGTTAGGGAAGATGAAATGCTTATTCTTGATATTTCACTGTCTCCCTCCAGTCTAAACCGTGCTAAATATAGCAGCAGCAGCAGTTGAGCTGCTGTTATAACGGGATGTCACACTGCAGTTACACCCAGCTAGCATTCAGCTAACTGTCAGTACTGTCAGCTTAAAGTGATGCTGATGCTTAATGAAATGCTTACATTCTCAGACTATCCATATTATATCCAGTTATTTGCTTTTAACATATTCATTGTTAGGTAGTAAGCTAAATATATTAGTCTGACATGGAAATGAACGATAATAAACCTGTCTGGAAAAGTTGATTTCTTGTCTGTTTCAGCACTTTTCAGGTCTTGAAGAGGCTGTCTTCCGTAATATCAGAGCTTGTAAGGAACTTTCTCAAACCACCCGCACTGCCTATGGGCCCAACGGTAAGTTTGGTGTGCCTACAGCCTATTAGGGTTGTGCTCTGCAAAGATATCAAAGCAGCACCCGTTAAATGAAGTGTTTTCTTTTAGGCATGAACAAAATGGTCATCAACCATTTAGAGAAGCTGTTTGTCACCAATGACGCTGCAACAATTCTCAGAGAGCTTGAGGTGAGGAGATGTTGTTGTGCACCTCACTGAAATTCAGCTGAGTGCATAATAAATGTATGAATTTAACTATTTATGTAAATTATTGTTTGTTTTACAGGTGCAGCATCCCGCAGCTAAAATGATTGTAATGGCGTCCCACATGCAAGAACAGGAAGTTGGCGATGGTACCAACTTTGTCCTGGTGTTTGCTGGAGCTCTGCTGGAGCTGGCTGAAGAGCTCCTTAGAATGGGCTTGTCTGTTTCAGAGGTAAACAAGATAATATTGGTAAAGTAGCATGGCTTAATGTCAAACATGTGCTATGATTGGTGCATTTTCTCAGTGCCCCCTTTTTCTTCTTTGCCACAGGTGATTGAAGGCTATGAGAAGGCTTGTAAGAAGACTCTGGAGATCCTGTCAGACTGCGTTTGCTCCTCAGCCAAGAACCTCCATGACATTAATGAAGCCAAGTCGCTCATCCGTACAGCAGTCATGAGTAAACAGTACGGCAATGAAGACTTCCTTGCGAACCTCATTGCAGAGGCCTGTGGTGAGTCAGAAGTGCACACTATCTCAGATTTTAGCATTGCCATGGTATTTTTCTGACTTCCTTTTTCTCCCCTCTTTGTGCAGTATCGATCTTCCCAGAGTCCGGCAATTTCAATGTTGATAACGTCAGAGTATGCAAGATTTTGGTAAGCAGCATCTTCTGTTGGTTTTATTTTGTGTGCGTATGCAGTTTGGCCTCTATTAACATTTGTGGTCATTTTAGGGTTGTGGGGTGACGGCATCCTCTATGCTTCATGGCATGGTTTTTAAGAAGGAGGCAGAGGGAGACATCACATCAGTGAAAGATGCCAAGATCGCCGTTTTCTCCTGCCCCTTCGACTGCATGGTGACAGAGACCAAGGTAAGTGGAGGTGACTGATATATTTTAAGTTTAATGAAGAGGATGCTGACATTGCTCTCGGTGCTGACGATAGTCCCGTCTGTTCCACAGGGCACAGTGTTGATAAATAATGCACAGGAGCTCATGGACTTCAGTAAAGGAGAGGAGGATTTGATGGAAGCTAACGTGAAGGCTATCAAGGAGGCTGGTGCCACTGTGGTGGTAACTGGGGGGAAAGTGGCTGACATGGCGCTGCACTACGCGAACAAGTACAAACTCATGGTGGTCAGGTAAGAACTACAAAACCTAAAGTGAGCAGGGAACGTATCATATACAAAGAGCTAGACGTTTACGGCAAATTCAGCCTGAGTTTCTGCTTCTAGTTGAGCTTAAGAGATCACATTTCTCTCATGTAAAGGATTGATCTTTTTGCTAATACAGATGGTCCTTTCATGGCCTAGGACTAAAACTTTTATTTTGAAGGTGCAAGATGTAACTGTGTCTGCATTTTTTGGGAAATTTAAATAAATATATGATGGCCGTATGTTAAATATTACATGATTTATAATAGTATATCTTTGGCATTGTGTGCTTCCCAGCCATAAATGTTCTTTTTTCCTTCTCGTCAGGCTTAACTCCAAGTGGGACCTCAGGAGATTATGCAAGACTGTGGGAGCTGTAGCTCTGCCCAAGATGGTGAGTGTACACTTGTTTTTATCAGATCAGGTATTCGGAAGAGCCATCCATTTTTAACTATAAGTACATTTTTGTCATCCTTAGACGGCCCCGACTCCGGATGAGATGGGTCGCTGTGATGGTGTATATCTGACTGAGGTGGGAGACACTCAGGTGGTGGTCTTCAAACATGGTAAATGACTCCGTTCTTCAGGCTTGTGAATCTTAATTTTAAACCTTTCTGAGTTAACGTGTTGGTTGGTGTTGACACTTTTAAACAGATAAAGAGGATGGTGCTATCTCAACCGTGGTGATCAGAGGCTCCACTGACAACCTGATGGATGATATTGAGAGGGCTGTAGATGATGGAGTCAACACCTTTAAAGTTCTGGTCAGGGTAAGTAGACATTATAAGTCACTGGGGTTATTTTGTTGTTGTTGGGATTTTTTTTCTTACGTTTTAGATGAATCACAAGTTTTAACAAATGGATGCACAAATTATATTTTAAAGATTATTATTGTCTTTATTGTAAAGCAACTCGAGCTGATGTTTATCTTTTTTCTCATTGGTTTTGAGCACCTGTTTACTTATTAATAATAATAATAATAATAATAATAATAATAATAATAATAATAATAATAATAGTATTAAAATAGAATTAGGAACTGAAAAATTAAAACTATGCTATCAGTGTTCACTATGAGCAAAACTTACCCTTTAAACATTGTTATTGAGAATTTTACAGTTCACAAATTTCAAGGGGTTTTCTTTTTATGTACTACTTAGTTTGCACAACAGCTACAGTCTCTCTGTCATTCATTATCTTTAGGACAACAGGCTGGTACCTGGTGGAGGAGCCACTGAGATTGAGCTGGCCAAACAGATCACCTCATATGGAGAGGTATGCACATTCAAGTGGATTAATTAACATATTCCAAGTCCACACGCTTATCTCTTTTCTTTGTTTTGTCCTGTTTTGACTGATACACCATTTTCCTGCCTTTCTGCAGTCCTGCCCTGGTCTCGAGCAGTATGCCATTAAAAAGTTTGCCGAAGCTTTCGAGGCGTT